GGTTTCTTCAAATCGTAAAAACGAAACTGGCGCATTGAATCAGCCAAGACTCCGGAAACCCATTTTTTGATTCAGTCGTCATGTAGCGGACACTGCATACAATAAACGAGAAACAAAATATAATGTATCGCTTGGTCGTTCTATTATATATTTCACCCGTTTAGTAATAACAATTATATAATCTTCCTTTTAATATTTATTATCTAATTCTCTATTTTTGGGAAAGTAGGAAGTATCTATCATAGTTTCCTTTCGCATTGATGTAAGAAACTAGTTCCAGATATTTAAATTTTCAATAAAAGTATTAATTGCAGCAAAAGTGTAGGAGTAATATGTATATACTGCAGCCAGCGATACTTTGCGAATACTCATTCGTCAGAAATCTTAGAACCAGAGCGATAAAAAGAAATCACGCGTGATAAAAACGTGTCATTATACAGATATGCATATTATTATGCGTCTCTGTCTCTCATTCAACACTTGAACATATAAAGTTGATAGTAAACTGATCCTAAGCTTCTAAACATAACAAATTTTATTACACTAGACTTTGATTGAACTCAATTTTATAGAAAGTATGATGGTATAATATAGAAATCAAAGTGTCTAACCACGTACAATGTATCAATCTCCACGTCGCTGATTAAAAGAAAAAAACCTGAAACGATGGAAAGATACGACAATCAGCAACGGCTGATTGCAAGATCATCGGTTCGATGGAATTAGTGCAACAAGTGTGTAGTGGCAACAAGTGTGGCGATGATTAAAACGGCAACGTTGGGCGGCTTGCGTTATCTTTTGCAGTCTTGCAACAAGCATTCAGTCAGTGACCCATAACAATTAGTCTCACGAGGGAAGGGGACAGCCACTACGATGCAGAGGGGAATGTCGATTAACGGAAGTGGAATAAACTTGGGTGATCCGGTAGGGTAAGTCCATCTGGACTTCTTGACCCTTCTCGGTCTTCTCTCTTTCACTCGCGTAATTCGCCCAATAACGACGGACACCGAGCCTCCAGCTTTGATAACGTTGGTATGTAAAGGGTTTAGTACAAATTTCATTTCATATTTCATACCTCAATATTTCATTTAATTTGGCCGACATCTGTTCTGGTTTTGAAGTTTCAATGGAATACTCCAAAGTTCATCAACATTTTACGATAATTTCGATTAATTGCCAAGAGAAGAAAGAAGCTTTCGCAAGCTTGCGCAAATGTTTGGAAAAGATTTAATAACAGCAAGTTAAGAGAAACAACGTGAGAGGAGAGCTTTAGTAACAACTATTATAACATCCCAGCAGCCATCAACCTAACGCGAACATCAGCCTAACGACATAATAATGCAACGATATCGTTCAACAACATAATGATGCCAACATAACGATATACAAGTACAAAACCGTAGTGTACTAATAAGCCTATCAGTGTAGCATAACGATGCACAATGCGACCGATATATAACTATCTAATTCGTAAGTTCCACCAACAATGCATCTGCTAAAGTTTGGAACTTTTAGGGTAGATAGTACTCGCCGAAATATGAAAAATAGTCGTAAACATGAGTCGAAAAATTAATATAATAGTTTCAAAATTATATAAACGATTTTTTGTTCCGGTTGAAATCGGCTTGCGAAACAGTTAGAACACATCCTTGGAAATCTTTGAAAGAGTACGTAAAGAGGTTACGTAGAAAAAGAAGAAATTATAATAAAGTAAATCACTATAGTATGATAGCTCTTTCGTTTCTTCAACCTAAACAAAAAATCGTTTATAATTTTGAATTTCGTAATTTTAAAATATTATAATATTATAATTTTTTAATTATAATAATATTATATAATTTTAATAATGATAATATTATAATATTATAATTTTAATTATAATAATAATAGTAATATTGTAATATTATAATTTTAATAATAATAATATTATAATATTATAATTTTAATAATAATAATATAATATTATAATTTTAATAATAGTAATATTGTAATATTATAATTTTAATAATAATAATATTATATTATAATTTTAATAATAGTAATATTATATTATAATTTTAATAATAGTAATATTATATTATAATTTTAATAATAGTAATATTGTAATATTATAATTTTAATAATAATAATATTATATTATAATTTTAACAATAAAATTATATTATATATAATTATATATAATTTTATTATATTATATATATATATAATTATATTATTATAATATTATAACATTATTATTTTAATTGATTTTTATTTTTTATTAATTTTTCGACCTACGTTTCTTACAACTTTATTCGGTGAGTGCTATCTACCCTAGAAGTTACGAATCCTTTTTTCTACTCACCCTGTATCAAACTACATCGGTGGAAGATCGAAGAAGCAATACGCGAAGAAACTGATATGTGAAAATTAATGTAAATTCGAGACGTTCGGAACGCACGTGTGCGCGCAGCCGACTCGATGCGCGCGCGTTGAGTAATGGCGCGAATGCGTAATCATTTAAACATTTCGCGCGTATCGGTAAGGTTAAGCGCGGAACAGTCATTCGGAGAGAAAATTAATCGCGACCAAGTTGGACGGGGCTGCGGATTCTATTTACGAATTGCGTGTCTCCCTTTCTAAATCCGTCATACGATAGCAATGCGAAGAATGAAGGGAACACGTCATTTTCATCTGCACCCGTGCTACAGAGGGACGAAATTGATGTACATATTCGCCGGAGTGAAAGACATTGTTGTGAGATGGATCAAAGTACCAGAGAGGGAAAAAGAGAGAGAGAGAGAGAGGGAGAGAGAGAACGCAGGATTAAACGAGATGCGAGTTGTTGAAGAATGTCTGTAGTCATACATTTTTTTCGAAGTAACTAGGCTAACAAACGTTGACACCGGTGAATGTAGAATGTATAATTGACGATTTAGAAAATTACTCTATAAATTTTCAATACCTGCATCGTTGAGCATCGATCGCTTTATTTCTCCAAAGTAGGAAAAAGTTTCACGAGTTCAACCTATTAGATCAAGTCCAGTTTCAACAGCGTACTGTCAGTTCTTTTTGTTTCGTTTTCTTCCCCATTCAGACCTGCCATTTTAGGAATGGACATCCAGAGAACCATGTTAGACACGAGCTCGATAGGCCAGCAAATATCAGTCGCGTCGTTAAAGTGCACGTGCATCGTGATTCACGAGCGCAATAATTGTGACAGTCGTTTATTATATACCTCTCTCTTTCTCTTTCTCTAAATTCCATGGTTCTTCTAGAAAACACGGGAACTTGCGTCTGCGAATCCTGGCAGTTGCATACGAATCGCAGATTCAGCCACGATTTAACTAAATCCATCGATGTTGCGAATCGAGTTGCTGTGCACAACTGCAAATGACTGTACGGTGATGAATGGTGATGAAAGTGACGGCGAGAAAGCCGATAATTATGCAGGGAGTCTATTGCAGCGGGTAATTAACATGTTCGTCGAGTCACAGCTCGTCTTTGAAAATTTTTGCGAAACTTACGTATGCTGTGTTCGACGTTTCGCTATTTTACGTGCTTCTCTGTTTTCCACGATGCACGAAATGCAAACAAAAATTTCGCAACGTAAGTTGCTTATTTGTTGAACCACAAATTGTATATTGTATTTCACACAACTCTCCAGAGAAAACGATCTTCGATCGTCCACATCGTAATAACAATCCCGATTTCTATACGCGTTCCGCAGACTCAATTCGAAGAAAGTAAAATTATAACGCATTTTATATCGTCATATTGCAACGCAAACTCATTGCAAAAATTACTTTAGAAACTAGGGGACATGAGTGATAGTCACAAAAATTTAAGCATATAATTGTAACCAAATTACAAAGAGTCTTCGAATTTAACCTATTAAGTATAAATTGGCTAATTGTAGTTCAAATCACGGCCAATGGTAGGCATTTTATAGTCTCAATTCGAAGAAAGTAAAGCAAATTCATCAAAAAAGAAGTTGACAAGCTAACTTTAAAATACGCAATAGTCACAAAAATTCAAATATATAATTGTAACCAAATTATAAACAGTCTTCGAATTTGACCTATTAAGTATGAATTGGCTAATTGTAACTCAAATCACGGCCAATGATAGGCATTTTATGGTTTCAATTCGAAGAAAGTAAAGCAAATTCATCAAAAAAGAAGTAGACAAGCTAACTTTAAAATACACAATAGTCACAAAAATTCAAATATATAATTGTAACCAAATTATAAAGAGTCTTCGAATTTAACCTATTAAGTATAAATTGACTAATTGTGGCTCAAACTATGGCCAATGATAGGCATTCCACAAATCGAAGAAAGTAAAACTACTACAACGCAAACTCACCATAAAAGAAGTAGACAAGCTAACTTTAAAATACACAATAGTCACAAAAATTCAAATATATAATTGTAACCAAATTATAAAGAGTCTTCGAATTTAACCTATTAAGTACAAATTGGCTGATTGTGGCTCAAACTACGGCCAATGATAGGCATTCCACAAATCGAAGAAAATAAAACTACTACAATGCAAACTCACATAATAAAAGAAGTAGACAAGCTAACTTTAGAAACTTGGGAGACACAGCCAATAGTTGAAAAAAATTTAAATTTCCAAAGCCTTTGAATTTAAGCTATTAAGTGTAAATTGGCTCAAACCACGATCGCGTGATTTAAATGGTGGTCGCTTAAAAAGTCATCTCCTCGAGGATGATTCGTTTGCGAGGCCGCTTCCGGTGTCTAATCCACCGCGCAAAGACCCCTTTCGACTACACGACCGCGCTACTTAAGTAATTCCTCCCCATTTGCCTCTGCGTCACGTAGACCTCGCTTCTTCCAGCAGCGACAACTGAATCGCAACGTCCGCGACCGCTCGATTGTCCTTTCAATCGTGACTTTTTTTTTTCATGACCGCGTCTCCTCGCCGCGTCGTTACTTGCATCGTTTACCGCGCATCTGACATTCGGTGTAACGAAGATTTCCTCTCTCTCATTACAGGAATACTCCTCTAGAACTCTGTTGCGTCTCGAGAGGACAAGATAACGCCGAAAGGTACGTGTTTCGTGCGTGTTCGAGCGATCGTCGTTGCGGTTAGGTGCTTTTTCGATTGTTTGACACGTGACATGACGTGGTCACGACGGTTCGTAGCTGCGGTGACGTTAGGGTTGATTTTTAGAAAAATTCCGATATTCGGTGCGGTCTTTTTCTCTTGTCCAATTTTTTTTTTTTTTTTTTCTCTTTTGTCCACGATGAAAATGCCACGAATGACAAACATTTTCTAGAAAATTTCCTTTATTTGATCGACTCGGACTTTCGACTTTCTAACGAATCAGCTGATTCATTGTACATAGTAGTCTTTAAATAACTCTTGAAGTATCCGGTCGCTGATAGATCTGTACACAGAAACGAACACAGAAGCTGTCTAGTCACTTTTTCTTTCTTTCAAATTCCTGCTATTGCCACTACTGGCAACGCGAGAACGCGGCTCAATTGCAAATTAATTGTTCGACAATTTCATTCATCGCGAGTACAGCCAGTCGTTCCAATGTAGGGAACACGCTGATACGTAATGACATGAACCAACAGTGCACGCGTGAAACTCAACATAAGAGCAATTTCTCTCCGAATCCCCGCAGAGTATCGAATATACATATGTACCTCGACTCGAGGCGATTCTTCAGGAGTGAAACGCAGCGGCGGAATGACGAAACGCGTCTCTCGGGAGACGACCACGTCGTTCATCTCCCCCGTCTCGATCGTACGATGCATAACACTTATTACACAACTGTCTGTATGTATATATACCTGGTTGGTGCAGCATCGCGCAAAAATATCGATGGTGTTCACGATCGTTCAGTTTCACGAGACTTTCTACGTTCTTACGCTTGTGTACGAAAGTCTGTTCAGAGTGGCGAGGCTGAGGAATATTTGTCTCTCTTCCAATGAAATCGAACACGGTTACGTCCGTGACATGCAGACGTTCACGTTCTGCGAATCGAACGACGAATTTCCCTTTCGCTGTCCTTGAAGGATTTCAAGGAGAACGCCAATCAGGTTACGAACGCGCGAACAATGCGCGCCGCGTGCGAACTTCACCCGTTTAGCACGCCCGTGAACTTCTAATCGCGGTGACAACGCCGCTTTCTTGCCGCCTAACCGGAAGAACGGCGAAAGTGGAACCTGTTCCACTTCCGTTTCACCAATTTCGATGCTCCAACGTCCACCGCTATGGCGGATGCGCCACATTGCACCGCTCACGTTCTGCTGGTATTACGTACACTCCACTCCGAAAGTGTTAGGACACTTACAGAAAATGAAATGAAAATTTGAAAGAAATTGTTATAATTAGGAAATTATTATAATTTCTGAAATTTATTTCAAAGTTAGTTTATTTTAAAGTTATATTAAGTTGGGAGAGGTATATATAGTTTACATTATAGTTAATAGTTTATTACATTATTTAGTACATTATTACAGTTATTATTTATACAGTATATTTATTATTACAGTATATTTAGTACATTATAGTATATAGTTTACATTATTTGTTATACAGTACATTATAGTATATGGTTTACAGTATATTTATTATACAGTATTATTTAGTACATTATAGTATATAGTTTACATTATAGTAAATAGTTTATTACATTATTTAGTACATTATTATTACAGTTATTATTTATACAGTATATTTAGTACATTATAGTATATAGTTTACATTATTTGTTATACAGTACATTATAGTATATAGTTTACAGTATATTTATTATACAGTATTATTTAGTACATTATAGTATATAGTTTACATTATAGTAATAATAACATTAATTTTGCTAAAAGAAAGTTAAATTTTTCATCGATATATCCACCGCGGTTTTTTTAATTAATTGTTCGACTAATTTCGGCATTTTATTAGTTTCTCTATTTCTGATACTATTTGGTTCCATGCATTTTGTAGTTTGTTCCATAAATCATTTTGGGACTTTGAATACACCTCACGGATTTTCCGATCTAAATAATTCATTCCAAATCTTCTCTATTGGGTTCAGATCGGGGAATTGAGGGGCACAATTATTTTTGATTCATCACTCTGTTCTAAATGTTGCAAATAGTCTTTACAAACCCTTGCAGTGTGCTTGGGATCGTTGTCATGCATGAAAATAAAATTTTGGCCTCCCAGATGATATGGCATGATCACGTACAATAGACAAATATTGTTCTTTTTTCAGAATCCCTTCGATTTTTATTAAATCACCAACACTATTTGCTCCAATACACCCCCAGACCGTGTTTAACTGTGTTTAACTGTGGGTACGATACAGTCAGGAATTATTTTTCCTTCAGGTCTTTTAAAAACATAAACTCGCCGCTTGCAACCGAACACCTGAAATTTAGATTCGTCGGTCCATAAAACATTTTTCCACTCTTCGACTGACCAATTTCGATACTGTAGTCTTCCTACTTTATTTTATGGTCTTAATAATGGTTTCTCTTTATATAGCTACGTATCCACGAAAAAATTATCCTAATACTTTTGGAGGGGAGCGTAACTGTCGAAACTCACGCTCCCGTAGGCGTTAATTTTGGTTAATTGTACACCTCGTTGGAAATGATTAAAGTATTGCGTGTATCGACGATTGAAAGGTTTCACTGCTCGTACCGCCAGTGAAAAACGTATTTCTTACCTTTTGTGGAAGAACGATTTCGAGATTCGATTGGTCTATGTTTCTATTTAATTTTGAAAGATCTATTTAATTTAAGAGATTTTAATTTAACCTTTGTGAGAGTTTTATCGTTTCTTTTATTATCGAAGCAATTATATAGGGTTATAGTATTTCTTGACACGTTAAGTGCTGTGCGTACTTCGTTTAACGGTAAGAAAAACACAAGATCACGGCACGATCCAGCATCTCAAGATGCCGAAAATTTTGTAAAAATTATTTTGTAGAAAATACAAGAAATATTAGTAGAAAAACCACATCTTTGCCTAAGCTCTTTCAATAAAATCCATTAAAATTATTATCGCATCATTAATACTGTATAACAGAAGCAATACTTAGCTACTATTCTTTCCTGTAATCTTAAAGTTTTTCAAGTTTTAATACACGTGTCTCACCATCTATCAACATGGTAGCACTTAACGTGTTAACGAAGTATATATATATAAATATACTCGATAGTTGCGTTAAGAAAAAAAAAAATAAAAAATAAAAAAGCTCGATTCTCAGCTCCTCCCTTAAACGCGAATTTCTTTCACGCTTGTTGGCGTATTAGATGTCAGCGTTGAAAGGCAGTGTGCTTTCACGCGTCTCGCTGTATTAAATATTAAAATGGCAGAGGATGAGGTCATCTTGAGGCGCCGACGATTCTGTGCGCGATGAGTTCTTTGTTGTAATCTTATGAATATGTATGGAAACTTTCGTTTGCCCGGCAACTGTGAATCTGGGTATGTGGAACGATCTTCCTTTCGAGATAGATCGGCAAATAGCTCGCTTCCTATTATGTAAACTCACAGCACGCATACGTGGGTGTTTTTTTTTTTTTTTTTTTTTTTTATCAAAGGAAGATGCTTGAAATATAATGACTGGTCGGTCAAGAAAAATGGACAGAAACAGCAAGGATAAGGATACGTAGTTTTATTAGAACACTTTCAGGATTTCCAAATTTCCCTTCCCTTCTATAAATTATTCGTCACAAATTTGAATTTGAGCATATTAAAGGATAAGCTGTAATTAAATTAAATATAATTTGTAAATAATTTATAGAATAATAGTTACAAATATAATTTGAATACAAGTATATTAAGATGAAGGACGTTTAAAAAAAAAAAAATAACACATCAGTTTCAATTGACTTTTATCGTTAATAACGCTATAGAATCTATAACTATAAATAAGAGTGTATATTTGTGAATATACTTGTATTTTTTTCCTTTACGTTTATTGCATTATAAATTTCGAGAGGCCCATAAAATGTGCAACGCTGGCCCGATATCTCGCGTGGAAGATTTCAGTTTCACTTTCACTTCGACCACGCAGTACCCGATTCTTGTAATCACTCTGCCGTAATACCTCAAATACTATAAAATGCATTTATTACGAATCCGGGCAATGTAATGTCGAGAAATTAATTGACGTAATTCAATTCTCGTAAGCCTCGTATCCCATGAGTTCTGCGAAGTTTAATAACTTTTGCTGCTGAAATAATAAATATCGATTTCACACAACCCAAATTACATATCTCTTATATACTTGCTTCACTTATGTTACGTAATGGTTATAAAGGTACTCTTTTATTATATATTATATATTATATATTATATATATATATCGAAATTGCAATATCTCATTTTAAACACAAATAAGCTGAATAATATATAATATATAATAATATATAATTCAATTTATTTGTGTTTAAATGAGATATCGCAATTTTTGCACGCATTTCATTAAGTTATATAATTCTTACATTTCTCTATTGTGTACTAAGAAACAGTGTGAAATTAGATAACCTTCTCTGAATGCTAGGACTCAAATACACACACACACATACACAATATATCACTCAGCTTACTTGTGTTTAAAATGAGATATCGCAATTTTTGTTCGTATATTGCATTAAGTTAGGTAATTCTTACATTTCTTTATTGTATACTAAGAGGTGGTGTGAAATTAGGTAACCTTCTGTGAACCTCCTTTAGGAATCAAATGATAGATTAATTAATGTTTCGCATATCCCTTTGATAATTTCATTTTTCGAATAGTGGCTCGTTACAAATTGTAAGTAGAATTATAATTTTAAGTCTCTTTGACGTTGAGAAGCGTTAACGGTAGAAGTCGAAGAAATTTGTCTTCCCTATTGTACGTTCCAAGGAACATTATACTTCAGGAACACTACGCTTTTAACCCACCAGAAGAAGCTCTTGTGCACTTCCGTTTCTTTGTTGCTACGAGCTACACTCTCAGTAGAAATAGTCACGTTTTTACCGTATTAATTGACGCTTCAATACGGTACTTCTTTCTCCGAGCTCATTGTCATTGTTCGTTTATTCGAATACGCGAGTTTTTTTTCTCACGAGTCAACCAAGAAAGAGCTCGATTAATATGGGGAGTATTGGAACAGCAATGAAAGAAAGATACATCTGAACGCTTGGAAAAAAAAAAAATCTGCAAGAGGACTATAATTTATAAAACAATAAAATTATTCCCACTCAGGATCAGAAGTGAGAAGTGAGATGATTTTGTGGACTGGTTCAATCATTTGTCACTGCACGTTCGACGTCTCTTTGCATGGAAGAACAACAAGCAGTTGATAGAAAGCGGTCTTTCTCTCGATCGTATTCGAATCACGAACGTTAACAGAAAACGATAGGAACGATCAGCGAAACCAAAGTGACGGAGGAAAGAGCGAGCGCATAATTGTCCTCTTGGGACAGAGAAACGTTCAACAAGTAATTACAACGGCCAATGTTTCTCCGGATGTTAATTGAGGTGAAACATTCGCGTTCGCCAGGACGACTGCCAGGTTGGAAGAAGTCCAAGGGTCCGGGCACGACCTTCGCTCGTTACGCGATCCATGCACGAGCGAATGCGTTTAACGACATTACCACGAGACCTTGTTCTTGAAATACTTTCTCACAGACGACGCGAAATGGGACGAAAGAAGGTACGAAGGCTCGACGACGAGTTGTAACCTTCGAGGCAAGTTTTTAGAGATTCTAATGCGTGCTATTAGATTATCTCAGAAGACTTGTCGCTGAATTGATGTCGACGCATCTCTTGCAAAACAACTTTTTAAAAAAAAAAAAAAAAAAAAAAAGTAACGTTGGAGCGTTTTCTCGAATTAAACGTTTGACTCTTTTTTATTTTTCTTTTGTTTTTATTTTCATTACTCATAATCGCTTCAATCAATCACTTGCGCGGGTTATTATTATTAACGACTTGAAATTAAATCTTGTGAATCTAATTTATTATAAAACTATTGTTAGATTTAGTCGTAAAAATTTCTTAATTTTAGGAACGCTTCTTCATCATTTGGGTTGTTAGTCAAGGAAGAACTTATGTTTAGTTGATGTCTATCTATTTTCTGTACTGGACAATAATACGTTCCGCCGTCAATTGAACTTTGCACAAATTTCAAGTTGGGGGCAGACTCTGGACGTTTTGAAAAATATTCAAACAAACGTTATTTTTATATTACTTTTCAAAGTTATTTCAGAAATGATCTATTTGTAAAATAGATAAAAATAACGAGATCATATTATTAAGTATTTCATACAAGAATTTCAATTAACTTATTTCCAATTAAATGATTCATTTGTTATTTCATGAAATAACAAATATCTCTTATTTGCTAGAATCGTTTTTTGTTATTTGATTTCGATGGAAATAACTGGTATCTTGAGTTATGGAGTCTTCTTTGTTGAGGAGGATACTGGTAGTTGAGTTTGATCATTATGGCCCGTTATGTTCCTTGAGATTACAACTTGTTCGTGTCTTGGTAGAGAACGAACAATTGTCTTCTTAAAAAATTCATTTTTAATTTTTCATTTATTTTTTTTTTATTTTTTATTTAATTTTTATTAGCCACATGAGGATTTTTACATTGATTTCACTGTTTTATGCTAAGAAGTACAGATTCCGGAGGTAAACTGTCGGTGTAACGTCGATCAGCGAGTTAGCTGCTTCTTTGACTTCGCAAGAAACGCTCAAAGTTGCAAGAACGTGGAGAAAAATTTCGTAAGGCAGGAAAAACGTTAGAGACAGGGAAAGAGAGAATGCTGAAAAGCCAGATTTACTATTTATTCTCTCTTACGTTCAGTTATTAATACGGAAAAGTAAACGATTCGTGGCGTTTCATTGTTAAACGCGCTCCACCAGCGATATATGCATACCGTTAACACAGAGCGGCGCATAAATCGCAGTCGATGTGCACAACGATCAATCGTGTCGCGTGGACATTTATCAAGATGCACGGGCTCACGTGTACGCGGCCAACCGAGACGAACGACAATCACTGTCCGGGAACCATTCCTTGCAGATCCTCCTCGAGCCTTCAGGACAAGAAAAATCCAAATGATTGAGAGAGGGATCAAACTGTGGTTTCGTCGGTCGTACGAAACGGAAAAATCGTTAAAACTTCGATCTTCACTGATATTATTATATACTATATATATATATACATATATATACATATATATACTGATAATTAATATTATATATTTGATATTATACAGAGTGAATAGGAAAAAGTTCTGTATATTTCTATGCTAGATAGTAGATAGCTCGCTGAAACATGGAAAAAAATCCTAATAAACACGGGTCGAAAGATCAACAGTGTCAAAGTTATAAATTTTGTTAGATAAGATTTTTTGTTTCGGTTGAAATCGACTTGTGAAAAAGTTAGAACATCTGGGTATCTTTGAAAAAATTTAACTTTAACACGAAAATATTAAGTCAAGCGTCATGCATAGAAATGGAAGGACATGTAAAAGTCTCCTGTAATCAGAAAAAGAAGAAATCATACAGTAAACCACTACCTACATTTAGTACGATAGCTCTCGAAGCGAAAGAATTCGTTTCTTCGGTCAAAACAAACAATTAAAATTATTAATTTTTCGACCCACGTTAGTTAGGATTCTTTTTCATGGTTACTACTTTTCGACGAGTACCATCTACTCTAGAAGTTGTGAACCTTTTTTTCTATTCACCGAGTATATGTAAGTAGCACACGAGACTGTGGAAACTATTTCGAGAAATTCTTCTTCTCTCCTTAGTGATATTCATTTTATCATTACTTGTCAACACATGTAGGATTATTAGATGCGTTAAAATGAGGGAGATTTATATATGATATTTATAGTATTATAATAATCATTATATCATTATAATAATAATTAAATTATGATATTTATATCATTTTATAGTATTTTATATATTTTATAATATTTTATACATTTTATATATTTTATAATATTTTATACATTTTATTTTTTTTATAATATTTTATACATTTTATATATTTTATAATATTTTATATATTTTACAATATTTTTACATTTTATATATTTTACAATATTTTTACATTTTATATATTTTACAATATTTTTACATTTTATATATTTTATAATATTTTATACATTTATATATTTTGTAATATTTTATACATTTTATATATTTTATATATAGATAATTTCTAAAAGAAATGATAGATCAGATGCCAAAATGAGTCTGAAATCTCCACAAACCGCTGTCCGACCTCTGAGCAGCGGTTTGTGAAGATTGCACCGCTGCTGAAGAACCGCGTTAGACCAAGGTGTTCACCCGATGGCTAGGTGGGGATGAAGGCCACGTACTGCTTCTGCAAATGCCTCGACGATGTGCACCTAGACCTACAAAACGAGATAACTCGCGGCGATCTACCGGCGCGGTGACTCGTTGCGTCGCGCGTACACTCGCGGATCCGAGGTGCCGGTAGACGCCAGCTGAGACGATATCGAGAGCCGAAAACACCTGTTTGCCGATTCATTTTGTGATGCACATGCCGTACCTCGTGTCAGATACAACTTCAACAAATTGGAGATAGTGAGATTAGTAGTTTTTTAATCAATCGTGGCGGAGCTGTGAGATCGATGGTGCGAGAAAGTTGTGCATCGTTCGCCACGTTTCAAGGATCAATTTTGTAAGGTTCGTTGTGCGTTCGTCATTTGATTTCTTTCGTTCTGGAATTATTCGTTGCGAAGCAGAAGATTTAACATATCGGAAAATAAATAATGTTTAAAGCTTCTTATACTACCATCTGATCAGAGAAATTCTCAAGTATCGGAACGAAGAAATATCGATAGAATGTATAAAAAGCTTCGCAAAGGATTGAACACGTCGGGAAGCAATTTCCGTGTATTTCAGCGAGGCATATTTTAACGATTCGCACGATGTCGGAGATTTCAGCGTCAAAGTTAGCATCGCGAAAAAAAGAAACGCCGTTTAACAGACTCGAAGGAACGCTGAGAATCCACAGAGAGAAGAAATTGCAGAGAGGGAAAAGCGGTCGGGTCAGGTATCCCCACAATCCTCTTACGCTTTATATTAGTGGAATCGATATTTTCGAAGCTACCAACAATTCCAATGCGAGAAACTTGCTTCCCTGTGAGACCTAACTGTCATGTCCAGTAATGTGACGTAACAACGACTAATTGCTAAACTCGACAGCTTCAACAAATATATCTCACAAACTTCCTTTTTGAAAAAAATAATCTTTGCCACCAGTCTCTGTTGCCTGTGAATAATCTGCACATCCCCTCCCATAGATCGTTAAAAGGATTGCACTCGGCAAACCCACGCCTACACAGTGCAGAATCCTGGAATTCGATTCATTATTTCAGTGTTGAAGCAGCCTGGTGGTCGTGTCTGTTCCAGGTGGTTTCGCCGTAGGCAGCCGCGAGAGATGTGGTCGCGCACGCGATTCTTGCTCCTGGCGTGGACGATCGTGCTGTTGGCTGGTGCACGGCTCAGCAACGGATCGCAGAGGCCGCGTCTCGGCGGCGCCGTCAACATCTTCAGCCGTTACGGCTACCTCAGCATTAGCATGAGAGTGGTCCCCAGAAACGACACGGACACGTGGATCTTCCGAGAGCCGACACTGGACGTTTTCAGGAATCCGACACCGGTGGTCGTTAAACAACGGCAACAGGCGGCGGTGTTCGACGGAGACTTCCACATGGAGTTCTGCGACAACGTCCGACAACTATTGCAGGCCTATTTCCGGGACTTCACGTTCGAACGGCTGGAGAGACCGTGGCGAGCTTTCAGCGGCAGCTGGTCCAAGGCGGCCATTGCTCGCCACTTGGGCATCAACTCGTCCTTCATCACCGGTGAACATTGTTACGTGCTGGTGCGTGTTGCCAGGTTCCGCGAGAATCAGAAACTGGCCAGTGCCGCGGACTCGATGATTCTGGACGAGGCTGTGCTCCGGGAAACGGAGAACGTCACGATTGGAGATACGGCCAGCGTCGTTCGATTCATCAAACACTTTGGATCGCACTACATCGCTGCTTACGTCACTGGCAACTCTTTGTATCAGGTAAACACAGAGATGAATTATTAGCGTACAATTATATCGTTACGAAATTTTGCAGAAGCGCTTCCTTCAGGATGGAGTATTTTTCAAAAGTAATGTCCCCTGAAAGGATGATCCCCTCCGCATGTAACAAACATTTGAATCCTCGTATATATCCTCGTATAAATGCTCATGCAATTGATTTATGGCTGCATAAAATTTATTGCCTCGAGCCTCGCTTCCGAGAATCAATTTGAATCTCCACCTAGTATCATCAAACCATCTCCACTCACGCCACGGTTGCAAAACGTTACCAAAGAAATCCTGTTTCGACAACCAATTGCTTCTCCCACGTTGAAATTGCAGCTTGGAAAATTATATAATGTATGCACTAACGTGTCGTTTTCTGTATCTTTCTTTTACCAATGTACGAATCTCTTGGACATCGATCTAAATAAATAGTTTATAAATATAATAGTAACGACCGGTTAACCCGACGACCACCCAGAACAGACATTAGCATAAATGATTATCGTTGATTCTTTAATGCTTATTTAATTGCAATCGTAAATCACGCACGTCTCGTACAGGTACGAAAGAGAATATTAGACGCAGGAAGACGATGGCTTTTTATGCAAAAATAAATCGACAGAGCGAAATAAAATTTCTGATACCAACGGAGAACTTTTGCCTTTGATCTGTCTAATTATTTCGAAAACGTCTGTTTCAAGGTGTTCGTGTACACGCAACAAGCATACCTGCGCATCAAAGAGCGGCTGAAGACCCGCGGCGTGGCAGATTTGTCGAACATTGAATTGAGCAACTATTTTTCACCGTGGTACGCGGAGCACATGGGCTCGATACAAGCAGCAAGCGGAAATCGCACCGTCGAGGCTTGGGCGGTGGAACGGCTTCGAAACCAATACTACATTTTCTCGTACGCCAGCTTGCTGAAATTACACGGTGACGGGATGCTGCTGAAGCAACTGGACAGTTTATTGGAGAACGAGGCGTTGTTACAGCTTCAGCTGAAGACGCTCGCGCCGATCTTCAAAGATCCTCAACGGCGCGAGTGGTTCCTCGAGGTGATCGACAATTACTTTAAGTTATGGGAGGTGAACATGTGAAGCGAAAACACGAGACATGTCCCGAAGGGAGAACATTGGTACACCTGCGTTTTTATATTTGCATAATATTACGTACGTGGTACGATCTGTAGGACCACGGTATACGCGTACGTATCTAATTTAGACAAACGACGACCGATGACTTCGACGTGAAACGACGTATTCGTCGTTGTTATTAGAACGGTTATTAATGCTCGAGAGTCGTTAGTCACGGTCCGCTGGAAGTTCACTATTGTTTCTCCGTTAAACGGACGCTAGGATTTAATAGAGAAACGCCCAACTGCTATTACATTCTTATTAAATAAGTATTTATTATTATAATTGACGATAGAAAACATTTTTATACAAACATTTTAAATATATATATATATATATATATATATATATATATATATATATATATATATGTATATATATATGTATATCACAAGCAATTTTCGTAAAAGTGACTGAAAAATGCGCGACGTTCTGCCTCCACGTTTGCCATTTCGCTTTTAACATCGATTTAATAGTTTTCTGTAACATTGTTGTCTAAGCTCGTCAAGAGAGTTGCGATAAACGCAGAAACAGAACTCGTCGCTGTTTTCCTTCTTTCTCGCGTTGATTTTCTTTTCGAGTATGTTCAAACTTCGATGAACCGATACTTTTAAAAATAAATCTGCGCACTTCATTTGTTTTATTCCTACAAACTTACGGATGCTACTTCTTTTTTTTTTTTTTAGTCGAAATGAATCGATGTGAGTATTCGAGTATAAAAGAAAGATCAATTTGTATGTCACGTATCAACGGACAAGTCATTTTATTGGCACGATGAAACGATTGATGAATAGAACTTGTAGGAAAAGTCAGTTTAATCGATCTTGATGAACATTCGATGTTATTATATCTTATTTTTATGTTTTCTTATCTCTCGACTTTTCTCGTAAACAGTGTTATAACAATAAACGTAATAAAAGTGCAAAACAAGTTCATTAAAAAATGTATGAACGTTCAAATGTTTTTTAAAGAAAAATCATTTGAAGATTAAAAAACACACAAATGCAGTAGGTGTATCATAAGAATCAGTATTTTTATATCAAATTTAATTATATTATATATTCTATAACTGATTTTTGAAGAATAATCTTGAAAAACGCGTAATTATTCGCTTTTATAAAATTTTGTACGTACATTGTATTTTTAGTTATCCCTAAGTAGATCCCTAAGGTTCCTATTGCTCATTAGATCGCACTTAAGGGTACATTTTATTCTAAAAGATACAGCCATTTAAATCAACTATTTTCTCCAATGTACGTACAAAATTTTTCGTATGAATCGATAAATTTGAATTATTCAAGCTTCTTTACAAATTAACATATCACGAAAAAATGTGACAATATTTATAACGTGAATTTTTTGCGTTGAAAATCAATTGTCTTTTTTCTTCTTTATAAATTTCGACATTCTCATTTCGCACGACACTCTTCAAAAAAAAACAAAAAAAAAGTGTAACAATTATAAATGGATAATTTATCTCCAGAAATATTGACTGTGGTAAGATTATTCTATTAATATCTCATTAATACTTAAATTCGAACTTTATATATCACATTGCCTATCGATTGTGATATTAATTTTAATTCGAGATAAAAGGAAGTCTCGTTACTAACTACTCGTTTCGCTATAAATTCGTAACTGTACACTTGTGCATTAATTTCAATAGGTTTTTTTAAAGGTTTGTAATTTCACACATGCTTGTTGTTCTCTACCTAACTTTCTTCCATTAACAACTAATATAAGTGGAGTTTCGACGCGTATAGATTTGAAGTCAAAATCCTGAAAAAGCATATATTAGATATAATCGTTAATTTTAAAACAATCATATATATATCAGTATAATAATACTAACGTTATCAAGATAAGAGAACTTTTGATGAATCACAAATGGTTCAGGTATAGCAACAGAATCTCCTATGGTAACTCCACGACCTTTAGCAAGATTATATACTGTTACAGCAATACACGTTTTCTCCTCATCAACGAGACAAAAGGCGCTAAATATATTGGATATGTATTAATCATTGGTCATGGTTTGTTATGATTTTTGAAAGATGAAATGAGACTCACAAAGGTACACAATCGATGTCTTCTATCCAACATACTACTTTTCCAAATACAACTTTCTCTGGATTTAGCCCAAGGGCTAAGTCTTTCAGTAATACTAAATCTAATTTTACAGTTTTCTGGCCGGACGTAAAAGAGCCACCTTTGTATGGTCCCAAATGTTTAACATCCAATGCCTACATTTAATCAGAAACCTATAAATATGTATAGGTACCAGCTTCATGTATTAAGTTTATAGAATTTTATAAAATAAAATTCATCTTGAACCCACATTCCGATTAGAAAAATAAATATATCGTTTAAAAAAATTTAAATACCTTTATCATTTGGTACAATCTCTTCGGTTTCATTTTTCCGTTATTGTTTACTGAATTTTGTACATCCTTCAAATATCGTAACAATTCGTCCCTTTTGATACGTGGTATTTCCCACAATGGATCCAGTAGTATCGCTCTCTCAAAAGATTTCATTGCTAAACTATATTCCTCTTGATACTTTAAGGTCTATCGTTGCAATACATTTGCATGAAAGCAAGGAATTAAAGTGCATCGATATTGTATTGGAAATAATAAAATGCTTACCACTGCCTTATTGTGAAATAAATCAGCAGTACTTCCTGCTACGATATCTTTTTCCTAAAACAATATAAATACGTTCACTGCTGGTCAAAAATAAAACTTGAAGACTATTGCGATATAACTTACTGCTTGTGCATAAGCCGACATGCAGAGTCGTAAAGTTGCGGGATTTTGTGCTATTGTAAAAAAGGAAGACAAATAAGCATTTCCTAAAATTGCCCAAGAAATACCATCTGATGTATCAAGACTGACCGCTTCCTTAGCATATTGCACTCCCTTCTGCATATTTTGTATTTGTTGCTCAGCATTAAGGACTGGTTCTTGTCTGAGTACCATTGATAAATTTCTTAACGATACCTTATTCCCACCCTATAATATTGCATTTTAGTTATACAATATATAACGAGAAAGCGAATAACAATGAAAAAAGAAATTTTACATGGCGTACAGCTCCGACGAAGCAATTTTTTGCTTGTTGAATATCGTTATTTTTCCAATAACAGCATCCTAATTCATTCCATGCTTCTACTAAGTTAGGCTCCAACTTTACTGCCTTTGTCAGTAACTCTTCCGCTTGAGGTATAAAACGTTCCGTGACATTTAGAGCTTTCCCTTTCAGATAGTAATATTTCGCTCGTGATCCATCGATCTCGTATCCCTTGCACTCATCGAACTTATTTAAAGTATCTTTCATCTCTTTTTCCACATCGCTGTTCTTTTTAATAGCTTCCTCGATAGAGTGATTTTCAAAATAATGATCTCGAAAAAAATATAACGCATTTACTTTTTCCTAGAATAAATAAACAAAACAATAGACATCGAAACAAGTTTCGTAAAATTCAACGGAAACGGAAGAATATAGGTTAGTTTTACACGTCAGTGAAACGACATGAGGAAATGAATCAATTATGTAAATTTTCGTTATTAAAACCGTGTATACCGTTAATGCTACAATGGGATCCTCCTTAACAGTGTTCGAGGATTTCGCTCCTGCAACCACTTTATCATCTATTGTTGCGGACATTTTTCGAAATACTTTCGTAAACTGCCTATCACAGTAAATTCGTTGTGCGTCAAATACACGTGGAGATTTTGCTTCTATACATAACGTACATATATTAGATGCATGCGATCTAACGCTCGAACAATCCGTTACAATCAATCATTCGAAAATCTCAACGATCGCAGTCTAACCGAGGAGGTTATATCATAAGTCGTTAATGCAAACTATTACATATAAAGTACTATCCACAATAAAGTTAAAGCTACTCGTTATCAATTGCTGATTCTCAACGAACGAGATCAAATATACAATTACTAAAACTTATCAACGCTACAATTACGACAAAAGTACAAAAGTTACGAAAAAGATTGCCGCCAGTCCATGATTTTTCACGGTATTTAAACGTCAAATTTCGTTCGCACGCGTCTCTGTAGATTAAATTTCATCGATATAGTTCAAGCGTGGACCGAGAGTAGCGCCACCGTCGCTTCTCCCACTGCCACTCGTCACGAACATCGAGCGAGCGTAACTAGTATAATCGCGTACTTTGTGACCGAAGCTTCCCCAGAAGGCTGCATCGTCTCAGGATCGCCATTTTATGTGTTTGGCTCTGAGACTGGGACGGTGGGTGCGTGCGGTGCAAACTACAGAGCGTATCTATCCGTGTATTATCCGCAAGATGTTACCCAAATACTTTGCGCCCGACATGTACGACAAGTAACGACAGGTGTCGGTGTGTGTGATCGGGCAGCGAAGGCTCGGGCCGAAATGGTCCCGGAATAGTGAATTGTGCGTGAGAGTGTTTTCATCGAGTAAAGTGCGTCGCGCACAGGCTTTTTCCACCAGTCGCTGTCACCAGTTTTGTTTAAATACCTGTGCCACTCGGGAAGTTGGCTTTGGCTCAAATTACGGACGGCCTCTGGATTCCTTACGACCGCCCTTCGCCACCATCTACGATGAGTTCGCGCAACATACCCTCAGACAAGGTGAGCCTCTTGTCAGTTGTTCTAATATGTCTACCGCACCCTTCCGCCTCCTCTTTCTCCTTTATCCTTCGCTACCAACGCAGTCTCCGACTCCCGTTCGATACCCATCGTGCACTAACGTATCACTCGGTCGTACCTTTGTTCACTAAGTCACGGCCATCCGACCATCAATGCGTAAAATTACAGCCGGATCAATGAGATGTCACCTAGCGCCTATCTGCCGCCTGTTTTCCCCGATTAAACAACGGATGTACACCCTCGCATCAGCGATATATATACAATATATATGTATATATCTCTTTTCTTTTTTTCATTATATATGTACTCTGTCCGTTTCCTCTAAATTATTTCGTTACAACGTCTCTCTCGTTGAAAATTCTCGACCGAGACATGTCCGACTAAATGTCGAAGTATCGCGCGGTAACGGCTCTTCTATCAAAGAAATCGGAGTGAAAGGTACACGGGAAAGGATACGCAGTCTGAAGCAAATAATTGAAGATTATATAAGTCCTCGACGATCTTAAAAAAAAATCCGTTCTACGCGTTGCTAAAACCTACGAAGTTGCTAAAAGAATTGCTAAAAGAATCATCCCCCCCCCCCTCGCTCCGTTTTGACCGCCATAATGGTTCTGATGTTCAAACGACTAATCGATCGCGGATCGATATCACTTCACGTCGTCGGTATTTAAATTTACTTATTGACTTTGCGCCTCTCGTACGAGCGTATTGTCATAAACTCGTACCGGCGGCTAATTAATGGACAGAGGATCTGCCTTTGATTGCAGTGCCCTTCGTTACAACGAGTACAGTTTCGCCGAGTTTTTCTTTCTTCTCGCGTCAAGAGATCACGCTTGTCGAGCCGTTTCATCCCGCCATCTCCTCCCCTCCTCCCTCACACACGTACGCACGCACACACACTCCTCGTTCCCTTCCACGGCAATGTAAATTAATTGTGTCGTGAAAGTCGTGACGGGAACGTTCTCCACGCTTTGTGAATTACACCTACCGTCACCAACGATCGTCGGCGATTCGTCGCGTTTCTTTTTTTCTTTTTTTTTCTTTTTTTTTCTTTTTTTTTCTTTTTTTTTTGACAAAGTCGCCGCGTTACTCGCACGAAGTGCACTCGTAGCCGGTCCAACGAGACTGTTTAATTGGCACCAATCGTATCACAGGGACGGCTACAGCGCGCTTTGTACGCTCGTTGCCTGTTTCATTCGAAGCTTACTTTTTAGACTTTTATTCCTAGGAGAAATTAAATAACGAGCAGCAGTATATCCACCGGGGGATATATATATATATATATATATATATATATATTTTTTTTTTGTAGTTTATTGCGCTCTCGGTGTAATACACTTTCGGGCTGCTTTTCCCTGCCGGTGAAATTGAACGTCTCGGTATTTTTTTTGCGTGTTTTGTCGAATAATGTCCTTCTGGCGAGATAGCTTGACGTAGCTTCGCGAAAGTTGTTCGGGGAATTTTTAACGTAACTTGGCCAGGAAATTGATCTCGTCTTTCGAACTTTTCAACGCGAGCGTCAATCGGTGTCCTTCTGTCTGCTATCGATTGGCGTTCTCTTCCGCTTTTGTTTCGCGTCTTGATATTATTAAATGAACGGGCGCGCGCGATAAATTGACACATACACACACACGCGCGCACACGCACGTACGTATGCCTGTTTTCCGCTAAAAATAGCGCGCCATTCAAAATTCAGTAGCATCGATGGAGTGTAAAATAGATGCAAATATTTGCGCGGCCGCCCCTTCCCGACCGAATCATGCACGCCATCCCCGGCTATTTTCGCGCTTTACCATAACCATTCCCTTGTTTGTAATTAATTGCCGATGCGGTGTACACTCGGTCGTGGTTTTCGCGCGGTTTTGTGCCCGAGAGCCGGAAAGAAACACATTGTTTTCGATCGTACCTAACGGGGCCGAATTGCGTTTACTTACAACCCCTTGGCTGTGTAAATTTTCGTTGCCGTGACAATTGTTCCGTTCAGTTCAGAAGTTAAGACGACTCGAAATTGATGTGAACTTTCTAATTTGATTTCTCGTTTCAATTGGCTCCCGATAGAACCAAGCACGTACAATGCAAATTAATCGACCGTGCCTTCCCCATCTAGCAGCCGGTTCTTGAAATAACCGAGAGGAGAATTCCAGTAATTTATTCTTGCGTCCGCAGGTCCGCGATAATTGCGGAAAAATTCGCGCGAGTAGAATAAAACGGCAGGGTTCTGTTCCGCTAGGCTGACGTCGGAGTTTTCAATTAAGAAATGTTTTCTGCGGGGGAATTGCGGGCCCCGCAGACGCTTAGTTTCGTTACAATTAAATCGCGCAAATTGGAATTCACGGCTGTCCACCGTTACAGGCCTGGATATCGTCGAGGACAGGCAGGCTCCTTTCACCCGCCTGTACCGTCAAAGATACTCCATTCATTATTTTACCATGGGAAAACGTCAACAGCTTCGCTCTTACGCTGTAACGGTGTGTCAGGACCGAGCTCTCTGTTGCATCAATAATTCGCCAATTACCGATAACGGTGGTTGCACGTTACAGATGAACTGTTCCATTGATTCCCGTTCGTCTAATGTCTACAAAAAATCAATAAAATTCAGAGTCTGCTACTCGATAATTCATTTACAGCGAAGAGTAATTGAATTATCAGCGTTACACATTAATAATTGTTATACGTAACAATTGACATTATTAACGTGGTCTCCACTTTGACACTGATCAATTTGTTTTCGTTTTTCTTTTTTCTTTCTTTTTTTTCGAAGATGATTTTACGTCAGATGATGGCTAGAAGAGTGAGGATACCTTTCTCTCGAAAACTGTGGAAATTCAAAAGCGTTTAAGAATATTTTTTCCATGACCAAGTCCATCGCAAAGTCTTGAGGAATAAAATTTTCTTTTCGCAACGGCTTCGTGAAACTTGCTGCACGATTTTGTTGAACTCGGCACATTAGGGCTAGACGACGAAACGTTGGGATTTCTCATTCAACACTGATATTCAATTTAATCTTCTAAGTACTGATATCCGATATATCGACGCCTATGTAATATCTGAGAAAGCCGAATGTCCGATATATCGATGGTCTCTCTCTCTTCTTGTTTTGAGTAGCTCGAGTCTTTATTTGATTTGATCAACATTGAAAATGTAGGAACTACAATAATTTATATGAAAACACGTAAAATTAAACTTCGCCTGGCGATTTAAATCCGTCCACTAGCGAAGAGGAATTTAAATACCCCGTCCTTAGAAGGTTAATAAACTGGTGAAAGAGAATCGTACAAGTTTCAATCTTCGAGACGAATTTTCTCCAATTTTCGAGTAAAATCACGTCCTCACTTTCTCACCCGTTGCGTGGTGTAAACTTTGAAAAAAAGACAAACCCGCGCAATCGTCAAAATAGAAGCTTCATGTTTTAAAACCGAGCCCGAGTGGATCTTCTTTCACAAAGTGACCACCAGTTCGAATCGTCGACAATTTTTCATTGTCACCGGTACCGAGTGGACAACTCCTCGCTGTATCTGGCAACGTTCGATTCACTTTATTTCGATTTATCTGCCAACATGGATTCACTTTCGAGCCGAGGCTGTTACGTCGTGGCGATCCTCTCGTATCTTCTGAAAAAGAAAACCACGCGTTCCTCTCTCGGCTACGATCCGCTGTGGGCGGTAGCCATATTCGGAGTCCGAGGAGTCTAGACATAATTGGTCAAAGCATCTAGAGCGAATGAAGCGTTCAGCTTCTAACCTCGGACCTCCAGCAAACTGACTTAACTCGCGATCAATTTTCTCTCTGCCACGTAGCTGAAATCAGTTCACCTGAAATGATTCCAATCCGCTGAATTCCGGTGAAAATTCTTTCATTTTTTTTTTCTTTTTGCTGAACACGCTGAACAGTTCGATTCTCCTTTCCAAGTCAAGGTACATACGTGATTTATCAAGCTGACTACTTACATACATACATACATACCTAAGTCTCGTTTGGCATCGAGCTCGAAAGCGGTATTATCGCGTTGCTATCGGGCAGAGCCTAGCGGTCAAGGTCGATTAAAGAACAGGACCGAATGCGTTTCTTTTCTCACGCGAAAGCTGGATGAAAAAAAAAAAGAAAAATAGAAAGACAGAAAAATAAGGTCAAGAAGGCTCTCCGATACAATAAGAAAGACGTAACTGCTAGCTCGTGCTTTTGTACCGTGACGAATGCGGTTCCCTCGGCTAGAAGTCACCGCGAATGATATAGAGTGACTCATGACAATCGATCAAATGCTCCAAACGTTGCTAAAAATATCGTGTTGCACTTTCACTTACTGTACTGTATTTTCTTCTGTTTCGTAACTGTTTGATACTCTTTCGGTATTGAACGATTTTCGCGAAGTAACGTAACTAACAAATATTTATCTTTCTCGACTGCAGTCACAAACTCATTCTCGAATAAGTTTGGAAGTAACTGTGTAATTGTATAAATCGTATTAATAAATAATTGTGTAAATTGTAAAATTATTGTATATATATATAAATTATTTATAATTATTGTATATATATTTATAATTTATAATTATTGTACATATATTTTTATATATTATTGTATAAATAATTGTATAATTATTGTATATATATAAATAATTTATAAATATATAATTATACAATTTATAGAATTATACACTTTTACAATTCAACATTTAAAATAAAAGCGTTGCAGTTCGTTCGACTCGTTCGATATCTCGCATAGAATTCAGTTGCCTTTTTCTTTTTCCGTCTTTCGTACTTTCGAGCGTCATTTATAGTCTTCAGATAGCACCCTTATTCCTTCCAAGGATTTCGTAGGCCCTAGAAAATCCGAGGATCCTTTGTTGTCTGTTTCATGTTTTTCCTTCAATATGAATTTTATTCGTACTGCCGACTTTCTTCACACAATTTTACGAAAGAATCTCGATAAACAGCGGGATTTCTGATAACTCGTAACTCACTCGCACAATTGATCGAAGCGACGCGATCAATTTAACCACGTTGCGCTGGCAAAACTGATTGCGGACCGTAACGAGTGACCAAACCGTATAAAATAATTTGTCGCTTTCTTTATCTTTTGATATCTCGTTGGTATATCACTGAATAGAAATTATCGAGAAATAATAAATTTATTATTTATTTTGCCTATTCTGTTACTCAAGTATACTTAAAACTGAGAAAACATTACAATTTTGGAGTAAAAAATTCTCGACGTGCGTGGCACGTCATTCCAGCGCAAGAGGTTAATGACTTGCGCTGGTAACTGATTGCGAACCATAACGAGTGACCAAACCGTATACAATAAATCGTCGATTTCTTTTTAAATTCGTCGGTATGATATCACTGGATAGAAATTATTGAGAAGCAATAAATTTATTATTTATTTTGTCTATTTCGTTTTACTTAAATATACTTAAAACACTGGGAAAATATTACAATTTCGGGACAATAATATTCTCGACGTGCGTGGCACATCATTCCAGCGCAAGAGGTTAATTAGCAATACACGTTCACTTTGGTCGATTATGAATCTCCGAAACTAACACGAGTCAACGACACCCAGTGACTTCAGACTTTCTTCCAAGAGGAATGTCAAAAGTTTACGAACAGAGTACAAGTGAAAGTGTGACACGCGATATTTTTGAAACGTGTCATTTTACGGCTGTTTACGAAATACAAAGACAGGATCAACGATTCTTTTACTTCTCTTTAATTTTTACCTCTGTGTAATTCACGATATCTCGCGGTGTCTCTTTTAACCGACTCTTTTTCTTTTTTTTTTTTTTTCTTTTTTTTTCCCCTCCCGTGGGAATGGTGCGTATATGTACGTGTGCATGGAGAGTCAGGACAGACAGGGCTGGCATGAAAATGCAAGAGGGGATGAAAAAAGATGAGGCTGTCCGTCCGTATGGAAAGAAACCATCCGGCAAACGGATCAAGGCGAATCAGCTTTTGTGAAACGTCTAAATCGATTTTCTGTGTCGGGCGTGCTTTTCTTCTCTCTGAAAACGAGAGAATGTGTGTCGGCCTCGTGCTTGCGGGCTCGTGCTTCCCTCCTACGCGGCTGGCCCGACGATTCACCTCGTCCTTCCGAGTCGAGGGCGAAGCTTTTCTGGATAAAACGATTCGATGACGTGCCAGATGAAAGGCCGATTCTCGTTCTAGACGGTTGCTTGATAAATCTCTCGGTTCGCGTTTAACGGATACGAATAATTCTCGAACTCGATTCGATCGTCATCGACGAAAATCGTCATGCGAGTGAGTCGTGTAGATTCTTCTGAAATTGCGTGATAAATCTCTCGGTTCGCTTTTAACGGATACGAATAATTCTCGAACTCGATTCGATCGTCATCGACGAAAATCGTCATGCGAGTGAGTCGTGTAGATTCTTCTGAAATTGCGTGATAAATCTCTCGGTTCGCTTTTAACGGATACGAATAATTCTCGAACTCGATTCGATCGTCATCGACGAAAATCGTCATGCGAGTGAGTCGTGTAGATTCTTCTGAAATTGCTTGATAAATCTCTCGGTTCGCTTTTAACGGAGTAACGCCGGTGGATGTGAATAATTCTGGAATTTGATTCGGTCATCGTCGGAGATAATCGTTATGTAGGTGAGTTGTGTAGATTGGAGATTATCGACAGACAATTTTTCTTTGGTCGAAACTTTTGATACTGGTGGAGCATCGATTCGCGAAACTTGGATGAGAAGGTACCAGGGCGGTCCTCAACTTTCGTACAATTCGCTATTTCGTATTTTGTAAGTTTCGTACTGTAAAAGTTGGATTTTTATTTGATGTGTACTGCGAAAACGTACTTCCATGTAATGACTCTCTTCACCTCTCCGATATTATGTCTCATGTACGGAGAGACATAATAGAAAAAGACACAGCGTGTTACAGAGCTCTTTATCAAGAAAAGAAAAAGAAGAGAACAATTCAACTTAATAAATCAAAGAGAACACCAGATACTAATCAATAAAGTGTTATTTATTTGTATGCCAATACTCGTTAAAAAATAATTATTTTAAAAACACTTTCTAATATTTTTTTTCTACTTTCGTACATTTCAACTTTTACGTAGAGATTTCAGGAACCAATTAGATACGAAAGTCGAGGGCCGCCTGTAATTCTCAGTCGAAGTCGATTCGATTGAAATCGATCAGCGTGACTCGTATTGAATTATAATCACAATACAGGTTTATCAGATCCCGTTTCACCAAGGTCTTCCTTAGTTTTTAAATGAAACTCTATATTTTGCATCTTGCTCTTACGCAAGACGCGTGAAAATTAATACAGAGCGATACACATATTGTATCGTGATCATGAAACAATTCGTAACGTGATGCAAAAGTGAAACGAAAATGATTTAATTTAATTTAAAAAGAAATAGATAAATATGTCAGTGTATGAGACTGTAAGTACTTACAATTAGTAATTACCATAAAACTAATTTTTTCTGCAGTTCTAATGCTCTTTGCAGTTTTCATTCTCGAGACAAATTATCTTCTTTAGGTTTGGAGCAAATATGGCTTTTTTACTGGAATTTAATATTCTTTTAAATGAAGAAAATATATTGTCCAATTAAACAAAGTAAAAACGATCTTAGAAATTTTAAAATCCTTCAACACTTGTAAAAAATTGATATTTTGCCTCCCTTAAAACCATACAACTTTTGTATTAAACAATTTTTCATTAGAGACGTAATTTAAAAGTTGTTTCCGGTCTGCAAGTTACGTGAATTACCCTGTATAATGTGAAATCAGGACTCTCAAATGTTATTTAAACTGATGGGCAATATGAACCTCTGGCAATATGAAAAAAATTTCTTTTGAAATTTCGTGTGAAAGAAGACTGTCAAATAAAAAGAAAAATAAATAAATAAATGGCTCTCGTGTTTTTCTCCGCTGGCACGTCTCTTGTAATGTAATTGAATCTAGAAGTTTAATGCAATGCATTAAATTCTGATCGATGTTTCGGAGCTTTGCATCCGCGCAAGAAAACAGAATCCAATCGAAAAAAAAAAATATATGTATATATCTCGACATAATTGGAATTCGATCCGCGCGATTACGTACATACCTACGCCATTCGCGATTGCCCGTTTTTGGAAAATAGTGCGACAGATAACGAATGTTTCCACGTAATGGATCGGTGATTTTATGTCGGTTGATATTTCATACAGCGTCGGATATCCTTGAAAAGCGAAACGAATAAATTTTGCATTTTTGGTTCTCTCTTTCTGCGTCCCAAATCGAACGTTGAGATTCAAATTTTGCTTCAAGCTGCAACAGATTTTGCGAGGAAGTTTTGTTTTTTGATCATTTACACCGCCGTTAAAATATTCGGAGCACCCAGGTTACTTTTCGAACGAAACGAATTGTTTTCGTACGATAATTGATTTTCTCAAAATTAACCATCCCTCTCATTTTTAACTCTAATTAAAAGAATAAAGTATTAAGTTTAAAAAATAGAAACGGAACATTGCTCCAAACTTTTGAAGCGCGATAACTTTTCATTAAAAAGAGATTAAATTCAACGAATTTCTTTATATTTCTTTATATTACATGACCATGAAATAAATTTTTTCGCACGATAATTGATTTTCTCATAATTAAAGATCTTTCATTTTTAACTCCAATTGAAAGAATATTAGGAATAAATATTAATTAAAGAAAAAAGAAAGATTGTTTTTTAATCCAAACTTTTGAAGCACGATAACTTTTCATTAAAAAGAGATTAAATTCAACGAATTTCTTTATGTTACATGACCATGAAACAAATTTTTTCGCACGATAATTGATTTTCTCAAAGTTAAAGATCTTTCATTTTTAACTCCAATTGAAAGAATATTAGGAATAAATATTAATTAAAGAAAAAAGAAAGATTGTTTTTTAATCCAAACTTTTGAAGCACGATAACTTTTCATTAAAAAGAGATTAAATTCAACGAATTTCTTTATGTTACATGACCATGAAACAAATTTTTTCGCACGATAATTGATTTTCTCAAAGTTAAAGATCTTTCATTTTTAACTCCAATTGAAAGAATATTAGGAATAAATATTAATTAAAGAAAAAAGAAAGATTGTTTTTTTAATCCAAACTTTTGAAGCACGATAACTTTTCATTATGAAGAGATTAAATTCAACGAATTTCTTTATATTACACGCGATAGCGTCGAGTATGATTTGACAATTGTTCTCGCATTTTTCAAAAGAATAAACGAGCTCGATAAAGTTCAACGACGTCGTTACATCAAGCACTCTTGCAATCGCTAGTCGCGAAAGTTACTACGGAGAAAAATAAAAGCACAAAGCAAAAAATTCACGAGATATCCTGTTTTCACGGTACCTCGGATTCGTTTGGTGAATGGTCGCTACATGAAAGGTAATTCGATGTGGCTGTTTTTTTTTTCTTTTTGCTTTTCTGTAACGCAGTCGTGCAACAATTTTGCAACGAAAGAATAGCTAAAAAAAAAAAAAAAAAAAAAAAAAAAAAAAAAAAAACGAGCGAACGATTGAAATGCAATAAGTGAGGCAGAAAAATCTGTCGAGTAATGTCGTTCGTGTGTACGGATGAATCAGCGTGATACCTTATCGTTTTATTTCTCGAAATTCATTGTTCGTTTTCGCCGGGGAACGGCCATTAATTTCGTAAAAAGAGAGATCGAAACGCGAGACTCAGTTTTTGATTCGCGACGCGAAAGAAAATACGTAGTAGCGTTTCCTCTGAGCCAACAGTTGCCAATCTTCTTTCTCTCTCGTACTTCTTGATTAGGCTTTTCGTTTATGAATCTCATCCTTCAAAAACGTCTGTTGTTTTTCTTTTAAATTTTCTTAGGTCTAGCTAAATAATCAAACGACTCATATCAATCTGATGACATTTGTTTTCTCGATTTCACAATTTATTTCAATTTTTTGTAATAGCGTAAGATCAAAACTCTGTCACTTTGTTTTTGTGTTTTTTTTATTTTCACTTCTTTTCTTTTTCTGGTGTCTTCCGCCATTGCCAATGTTATTCTCGCGTACTCTAGGTTGGCAACCGCTGCTCTGAGCGATAAAATTCCTATTGGTAGTTAAATTTGTAAAACAGGGAGAATCAAGTTGAAAGAAGTTTTATCTGTGTCAAGGACGATGAAATAAAAATTGTAGCGAAATATTTTCGTAGCACAGTCTGCGAGAGATTACTGCTTCGCCGCGTAAAGTAACAATTCCAGTAGCTTTTATCGGGAAACTGGTTGGTATGAAATAATGTGATCCCCGAGCGACCTCGTTGCTTAAACGTCTTTTCCAACAGTAGGAGGGATCGTTCTCTCCTACAGTCGTCCTTTATATATCCGTAGCAAGTTTTCGAAAGAAAAGTCGAATAAATATTCGACGGTGCTTCAACTGTAAAACATCTAAAAGTAGATTCGAACGAGATCCTTTGGTCTTTCACGACCTAGTTAAAACTGTTCGGAACTTCTGAATATAAACTCCCCCTGTCTCCTCCCAGAATAATTCCAATGTTACGCGAAGCATTTTACCCTATTTCGACCAGCGCGTTTTCAGAAACGCGCACGACAACAATGTAAAAATCTTCCGAATTCTTTTTTTTTTTTTTTTTTTTTTATAAATGTATCTTCCGAATTTTTTTTTTTTTTTTTTTTTTATAAAACCAACTGCTTCGTTGTCACGTTATCGTAAATCGAGAGAAAGTAGAATTTTGATTGCAGTGCTCGTTGTATCGTGCATGGTGACTATAGTTACTCAGCCATTGAGCGATATACTAGAAAGAACATTTTTGTCATATTTTGCCCTGCTACTTTCAGAAAGGAAAAAAAAAAAAAAACGCTATGCAAACTCGTAAAAAATTATCTAACATGTGTGGTGAAACTATGGCAGTGTCAGACTGTACGAAATTTCACTAGTAATGAGGATATCAAATCGTTCTTGGTACTTTCTTTCATCGTAAAGAATACGAATTTTTTTGAACGCGGAATCACAAAGTTGATAGATAATCGAGCAAAAATTAAACAATATATTGTTCAATGAAGCTTGTATTTGTCATGAAAAGTTCGCCTCTCGTTTGCACGCATAAAGAAAAAAACATTTTGGTCAGTCTAATAATTTGGCGGAAATTTGCTCACGTCGATATTACGCTGCTTGAAAGAAATACGTACGCACGCATAATATATCGTTCAATTTCTTTCTATCATTTTCCATAATTTCCGAGGCTTCGGCAGCTCTTTGCGTTTAAAAATTGTATCGACAGCGAACACTCCGCCTCTCTGAACGCTCTGATCATAATATGTATTCCGCCTCGCGGCCGCAATGAAAAGCCATTTCAGAGAATTAATTCGACGCCTTGAAAGGCATCGTAGTTGAAAGACTTCGCAGACGAGAGTTTCAAGTGGAAGTAGTACCATTCGCAACTCTTCTTTTCTTTTTTTTTTTTCCCCTCCCAGTTATCAACTACCATCGTTTGATGTTTCCATTTCAAAGTGAATTCCGTTAGTGTATGTAGAGAACGAGTCAGTCGATGTTCTCGCAATCCATTCGCTTTCTACAAGCGGAGCGCGTTGCGGTCACGCTTGTACGCTGTTCACTCGAAAATTTCACGTTACCTCGCGCGGCAGCACGAAGGCTTTTGCAAGTGTATCGCGATCCAGTGAATGATAGCGCGATCATTGGCTCTGTATGAACTTCAGCTTGAAATCGAGCAAGCTTGTTAACCCTTTACAACCAGCAGTTTATTTCCCTTTCTTCTTTCTAAGAAATAGCGCAGTAATAGGATAAAAAATAAATTTCTTCTCTAGTGGCTTCCCCCTCGATTTTGGCTCGTTCTGTGTGCTTTTTAATAAAACGCAAATAGAAAGAAACTGATGAAAATCAGAGGCGGGTAACTGGCGGCCCTTACCCCCACTTTCCTAATCGCTAGCGCTATCCCCTCCACTAGCTCCACTCTCTCTCTCTCATGCACGACGAGGAAACTTCAACGCAGTGGAGAAGGTATATATATATATATATTGAGGATAACAGCAAACACTCGTTCACAATTTTCATTAAGTCACGAGAAATTCGGTACGCGATAATAAAATAACGTTTGTATAAATTGAACACACGTACATATGAAATACTTTGTCAAATGTAACAGCTAATTTCCTCTGTCGATCGTTCAATCCAATTTCCCCGAGTTTCCTAGAATAATAATTCTAATTATTTTCGCTGCGTTACACGACCGCGCGAAACGAATTAAAACGCGCGTTTGCTGTTATTCGAAATATGATCAAACGAGTAGCGCGTACTGACGTGCGATTTATAATTGCACGTGCCGACTGTATGGTTAAAATGTTAATCGTAGAAATGGATATGAAGCTTAATATTAATTTGCACGATATTCTGGGCGTGATGAATTGAAATGACAGGCAATGAACGGGAGATGTAATTTAAAAATAATTACTGTCTTATTTTAAATAATGTCGAATATTTTTTTCTTTTTTTTTTTTTTTTAAAGAGAATAGATCGAGCTATTTATCAGCACAATTCACACCGTAATTCAGATCGTGGAAAGCACACGAAGCTCATCGAAAATTAAACGTTTTGCTGAGCGTCAAAACCGCGTTGGAACAAGTAATCCCTTGATTATATCGACAGTCGACTCTCTTTGCTCTGATATTTGCATGCTTTTCATCCGCCCACTTGCGACATTTGGAGGCTTCGACGAGGCTGCGTGACGGTTTAATATCGAATTCTATTCCAATCGTAATTTTCGTCCGGGTGAGAAGCATTTTAATGAGTACGCTGTGTGAGTGAACTACATTATGCAAGTGTAATTTGAATTCTATATTTTTCAAACACGTTCGTACAGGAATAGAAATTTGCACAGACATTCGCACTCTGATGATAATATAATTCATCAGAGGAATTAAACTTTGAATATCGTACGAGAGAAACAACGATCGATGTCGATTATATCAAGTCGGTGTAACTTTGTCAAAAAGGATCATGCAACGATCCACTTGGTCTCATTTCAAAGAGCAAAGCTTCTAGTTTGATTGTTGCGAATTTGTTCCTCTTTTTGAAGATGACTGCATTACGTGATGAGTGAGAAAGTGAGGATGCGATTTTTCTCGAAAATTAAAAAAAAATCAAACGAGTGTAAAACTCTGGCCACTGTCTGGTATAAAATCGTCAAAGTTTCACGTTTTAAAGTGAGACCAGGTAGATCGTTGTACAGGGTGAACCAAAAGTTCCTTCCCACCTATTTTTTTCAAGTAAAACATTGACATATAGGAGAAAATTAATTTTATTAATCTCAAATTAAATCAAACGTGATTTTTTCATTGCGTTTCAAAAATTACTTCTTTCAAATGTTGTTGACCGTCAGAGCAATTAAATCGGATTTATTTTATAGTAGAAAGTGATTTTTGGCCCAACCTGTGCAATCTTTCTTTACGAAGTTATATCAGTCGAAATAAATTATCAACAGTTTTTCGTCGTCGTTGGTACAGCTCTGCTCTTCATTGATTCGAGATCCCGACCGAAGAAACCAAAACGTTTGGAACCCCTATTTGAGATTACTAGCGCCAGTTACTAGAGCGCGTAACTCGACGGCTCGGAAACAAGGTCAGATCGGCCATTCGTTCGCGTAAACTTACTCCATCACTTACAAAGTGCTGATCTCAAAGTGTATCGTCTATTAAAACAACGCCCTGTATATTCGCGCGAGGCTGCTCGTGTGGCCGGTGGTCTTTTCTCCGCCGGTTTCTATTTTAGCTGGCTCTCCGTTTCTTCTTTCGTGCCGCGCGAAAATAGAAAATACACGGCGTGTTTACACCGTGTACTACAGCTCATTAATGGGGGATGTGGTACGCGTTTCGAGAAGAGGCCGAGAACGAGAGAGTTTGGTGGCCACGGTTCGTGAGAAACTTGGCCCCCTCTGTTTATGCCTTCAAAGCAAACAAAAATTGCTCGTGGCACGCGTTTCACCCGCGATATATATGTATATACGCAACCGTTTGCCCGGTAGATATTTTTACACGCGGATTTGCGAAGTAGTATAGATCAGCGATTCCTCGCGAAAATAATATTGTTAATGGCGGAAAACACCAAAGACAAAAGGGGTTGAAATAAAAATACAAAAACAAAGTTATCGAGTTTTGATTTACAGAGAGATACTTATGTGAAAGTTTTTGAGGAATAGGTGCATGTTTATGAGGGGAAGGAGTGCTCATAAATGAAAAGCCTAAGGCGGGAGAGAAAGAAGGTTGGGAACCGCTGGTATAGATGATTGAGGTTAGATATTCTTGGGGCAGCATTTTGGGTAGGAAGCTACTATAACTGGAATGAAAGAAAAATCGTAGAAAAAGATTTTTTTTATACTCACTTGTAATTGTTATTTGTAACATTTTAGAAATTAAAAGAAATAATAATAATAATAATAATTGCTATTTTACGACTTTTCTTTGAACCGCTGGTATAGATGTTTGAGGTTAGATATTCTTGGGGCAGCATTTTGGATAGGAAGCTACTATAACTGGAATGAAAGAAAAGTCGTAGAAAAAGATTTTCCTTATACTCACTTGTAATTGTTATTTGTAACATTTTAGAAATTAAAAGAAATAATAATAATGATAATTGCTATTTTACGACTTTTCTCTGAACCGCTGGTATAGATGATTGAGGTTAGATATTCTTGGGGCAGCATTTTGGATAGGAAGCTACTATAACTGGAATGAAAGAAAAATCGTAGAAAAAGATTTTCCTTATACTCACTTGTAATTGTTATTTGTAACATTTTAGAAATTAAAAGAAATAATAGTAATAATTGCAATTCGACGACTTTTCTTTGAACCGCTGGTATAGATGATTGAGGTTAGATATTCTTGGGGCAGCATTTTGGATAGGAAGCTACTATAACTGGAATGAAAGAAAAATCGTAGAATAGCAATTATTATTATTATTATTATTATTTTTTAATTTCTAAAATGTTACAAATAACAATTACAAGTGAGTATAAGGAAAATCTTTTTCCTTGCCGATGATCATTACTGACGGGGGGGAATTCTATTTCAGTCGCTCATGGTAATTGGACTAATACGATAAGGGAAATTTATTTAATAGTATATTTAACAGTTAAATTTTTTTAAAAACATTCTCGATCGTAAATAACGACTGCAAGTTTTAAGAAAAGTATTCTCGTTGTTAATCATCACCGACGAGAGAAATTTATTTCGATTGCTTACTCCCTTTTCGATAATAATTATCGACGAAGGTAATTTATTTCAGTTCTATTTTTTCGTTAATTCCCGCGAAATTTAAATCGGAGAATAAAAACTGTACGGTTTTGAAAATGTTTCAACGCGATTGTGCGTGCGGATGATTGTTTCAGTGTGAATGTAAAATAATACTTCACGTTTTGCGCTATCACGAGCGTTCGAAACGAAGTTTTCTTCAGTCGATAACTGTTACTGTAAGCAACAAAAATAAATTTCCCTTATCGATAACTACCTTGAGCTACTGAATTCCTCTCGGCAAAGAAGATTTATACAACTTACAATTGTCATTTGTAATATTGAATTTCTCTTTTAAACAAGTTTCCTTTCGAACGAATTTCAGTTTATTATCGATGTTTTTCGTAAAAAAAAATTTTTGCTAATAACTGTTACTTGTTGGTCTCTCATTTTGGGACCTTTTCTTTTTTTGTCTTTTAAATATCTAGGAAATGTTTCGGTGTGCTGAAAGACCTTGTTAATGTGAACGTTGTTGGAAAATCCTATGTTGCGTGATTTACCAAGCACGCTGAGTTGTCTTTGTTATTCACACCCGCGCACATGCGTCTGCGTATTATCTAGCAGAGGAAATTGCAGCATCGTATTTAGAATTGTGCTGTTTCAGTTGTTTATTCGCCGTTGCGACGCTCTTCTCTTCGCACTGTTTCAATTTCATTATTTCACCAGCCTGTTTAGCTTCCTCGCTTCTTTTTCGTGTAATTGCGGTGTTTTTACGGTTCGTTAGAATTTCTGCTGCTCGGATATGTTTGTCGTTAGCCAAATTACATTTTTCAAGGCTGACGTTAACGTTAACGTTTCATTTTTGAGGGAAGAATTTTTTTTCGCTCGCTTCTCTTCCGTTGTTGCGCATCTTTTTCGCTTTCACTCGTATCTGTTTGTTCTTTCGTCACTGTTCGAGTTCTACTTGTTAGTCGCACGTATCATCTTCGTACGAACGGATAAAGCAACATTTCACCAGAGGAATTATCTTTTCATTGCAATTCACGTTGCTTTCGTTCCAACGCGAAGCTTGCAATTTACGTATATCTTTCAATGCAATCGATCTTCACTCGACGAATATTTTAACAATTTTTAGATAATTATCGTGCCCTCCGTTGTGCATACAGCGAAAAGCATAACTGAACACGTAACGATGAAAAATTGTCGATACTTTGATCCGTTACAACGTCGTAAAAGAAAATCGTATAAGAACCTACTTGGCCTCGTTTTAAAGCGTACAGCTTCCACTTTGAAGAAGCTGTACATACATCGAGTACGTTTTTCGCAAAGATATTTTTACACCGTGTGGCGGCTAAAAAAGCAAGAGTATTTTTATTCTCAAAAATCGTACAAATCCAAGCATCCATTAAGGAATTTCTTTTTCGCAACTTGGTCCACCGTGGTTTTGTAAATTGAAATTGCAGTGATTCCTTACACTTTCCTGTACGATGTTTTCTTATCATTTTATTGAACTTTGAACATTAAGAATTTCTCGAACTGTTGTCGTAATATTCAAAATTCAATAAAATGGCGAGAACAGAGTCGTGGAATAAGTTCTAAGAGGTCGTCGTAGAAACGAATCTTCAATCTTCAAGATTACCGCAGATTTAATCGTAAAGTAAATAAAATTCTTCACCGTGCAATTTTATCGAACTTTGAACATTAAAGTTGGTATTTTTTGAGTTTTTATTGTTTAATTCTGAATTGAAAGTTCTATAAAATAGTGAAAAAGAAAAATTGTACAGCAAGTTTTAAATTGGGAAACTTTAGCCTTCAGAATCGTAATGGGTTTAGTCGTAAATAAAATTTTTCGGTATTTTCAACAATGTTTTTTTTTTTTAGAGAAAAGAACATTTTTCAATTTGGGGTGCTAAAATATTTTCGAGAAAAAAATGAAAACGTAAGCTTCAATGATACTAAGTAGAGTATGTTGCATGATCTTTTTTGACAAGGTTAAAATAGTATTTCGAGTATCGACAATTTTTCACTCAAGTTAATTTTACTGCCAAATTCTCTCGAAAACGATTCATATTCGCCATAATGATAATAATAGTATCTTCCAAAAGCCGCATCTATCTTCACAGCAGAAGCCTGTGCAATTCTCGAAGCTTTTCACCATACACAAAACAACAATACTCAATCGACTATCATTTTTACAGACTCCATGAGTGTAATCAGAGCAATAGAAAACATAAATAGTAAAACATAACATGAAACCATTCTAAACATTCAACATATTTTTACGAACCTCACCAACAATAATAAAGACACAATCATCGCCTGGATTCCATCCCACCAGGGAATCAAAGATAAGGAAGCTGACATAGCAACAAGAGAAGCAACATCGCCCTCGTCGGATGTCATTCGAAGACAAATTCCTTATCAAGACCATGTTGTAACATTACACCATGCCGAAAAACAATCATGGAACAAAATATGGAACACCTCCAAAAAAGCAAAAACTCATAATATAACCCAAGATTTCTATCAAACAATGCCTACCAACAATATGAAAAGAAAAGACAGAATAGTCATGACAAGACTTAGAACAAGGACACTGCAAACTTACACATGAGTATCTATTTAAAAAAAACAGAACCACCAATGTGTATCCAATGCAACCAAATTTTATCAACCCATCATCTTCTATTTGAATGCAG